TCAGAGCGAAGATATATTTCTAAACAATTGTTCTCTTAAGTGGCAGTTTTACTTACTATCCAAATAACTTAGAAACAAAGAGATATTTCTTACCAATTGTTTACTTACTACAAACCAAATAACATAACAAAGATATATTTCTAAAGTGGCCCATTTACTTACTTCAAACGAAATAACTTATAAACAAAGGTATATTTCTTAACTTTGTATACTTGATGAGTGGCCAGTTTATATATTTCTAAACTATTGTACTTTATGTGGCCAGTTTACTTACAATGTTAGAAGGTCTGTTAGGAATATTGACCCTTTAAACGGAAATAAGTGGACATTACGAGTGGTCAATATTTGTAAGCCATGTGATTGGTCTATTCTTCGTCATTGATTACTAGTGAAACGAGTAAAAACAAACATCCTTTGTCTATTAGAGAAAATATTTACTTTATAAGTGTAATGTAGCAACAACTCTGCATTTAGATTTACTTACGCTACCTTTGTAAACGCATCTATATTGTCTTAGTAGAAATAATTATTCGTAGAGTAAGTACGTTGTACTTGCATCGATTACTCCCAACGTCCTGTGTACTGTTAAAACAATGTACACTTACAGAAGAGAATGTTTCATTTCTATATATGTATACACAGTACGATTTGTGATAATATTGTCTTTAGTCTTTCGTATTGAACAAATAGTTATGAACTTTTAGATATAGTACATAATGTATTATATAATCTGTACTAGGAACAGAAGGCTGGTGCCATCTTCTTTAACTCAGTAGGTGCAAAAAAGGTAGAACATAGAACCCTACGTCATCTTGTTGTACATGTAAATTGGGCTTTTTTGTCATTTTTATGGTCCTTGGTTCAGTTACACCATGATAAATCCAGCAATTGGAAAAACTCTGTGGTACTGCTACCTCTGCCCATGTAGCTCTAAGCTCCTGCTTCTTCTGCTAAATTTAATCTTCTGCTTAATCCAAGGCACCACTTATAAAAACAGCAAAAAGGAAAATTCTTATACCTTGGAGTCAACTAAAGGATTTCAAATAAAACTACATGACAATCATATGCTTGGATATGTTCGTCAACATTATAAATAACTTATTTAGTGACCAATATTTTAACTTGAGCAAATCACAACAACAAAAATTCTATAGTAAGCCGATTAGATCTGCCGATAGTGTTGACTAAATGTTACTTTTCAAATGGAAATAAATGAACATGTGCCATTCTTACGCACCATTGATTTCAGTAGTTTATCACTATAAATAGGTATCATTTATTTCTGTGCTTTAATTGAGCATTTAATAGCAAATCGCAAGAAACAAGCAAAACAATCACACTATTATAATACTATGCCACAACTATACTATTAATAAAAACAATATTATCATAGACCTACGGTTGCAAAGAGTTGACTAAACACTTGAAATATTAGAATGTGCCAATCTTACGGACCAATAATTTACCATTATAAATAACTATCTTTTTATTCTAATGTGTTCTCAAAGTTTTATTTAACATTTGATTTAGAAAACAATATCAAAATCTCAATTGTAGATAATATCTGGTTTTGGATTCAGTCAGATTAAAAAGAGATCAACCAAAAGACTTCAGAGAAACTCAGAGGTTTACCATATTCTGTATATCATTTTCAGGGGGTCATATTTTTGTAAAAACTGAACTGAACTGGACTGTTTTTGGAATGATATTGCTTTAGAGATTCAACTTTCACAATATTGTAGTTTGCAAGAGTTACGAATGAGTAATTAAATGCATATTAAACATTAGATCTAATAAAGATTTGACTTGAAATGTATGACCATATGCTGCTCTTTTCACCATTTATATCAGCCATTTATCTTTATAAATATTAATATAAATAAGTAGTGTTTATTAGCCCTTTAATAGAATAATAGGAAATATCAACAGTTTCATCCGTGTAACAAAATAAATAAGTATGACAACAACGACCATATTATTCTTCCCTTAATGCTATTTGGATCTACCTAAATGTCAACTAACATTGTTTGAAATGTATGAACATGTGTTGATCTTGCGCATCACTGATCACATTAGTTTATCAGTATCATTTATTTGATGCTTTAATCGAACAGATATCTCCTACTAAATCACATCAAATGACCAAAAAACACTTCCACAGAGTGATTATTAGGCCTACCAATGAGTTGACTAAAGCCTGGAAATACAAGAACATGTTCTGATATTGAGCTTTATTGATTACATCAGTTTATAAACATAAATAAGATAATTTATTAGGGTGTTAAAAGAACAGCAAAAAAAAGCTAATAAGAAAATATAAGACTTATCATATATTAGGTTGTTAATAGAACCGCAGAAACATTAACTGATCATGCATGTTGAATGTACTAAAGAGTTAACTAAATCGTTGAAACAGTTAACTTTAGTAAATCATAACAAAAACTACCCAAGCTTATTATTCGACCAACCAGAGAGTTGACTAAACGGCAGAAATAAACGAACATGTGCCAATCTCACGCCTTCATGAGTTTATCGATATAAGTAACACATTTAAAAAATCTGTGTATACATATCTAAGCGATTTGCTGCGACGATGAGGGATGCAATCAGTTTGGCCGACTCCTTGTGTTTTAATTACAATTGATATAGATGAAGTATTGTTTAATGAGAAGAATAGACAATGAAAAGCGAGAGTCCTGAAGGGGAGATAATGACGATAGACAATAGATACAGTTAGTTAGGATGAGTGATCAGAGAGACAGATATTAAGTGGCATGGTGGTGATAGCAAACACTTGCTTTGACGAAATCTATTAATGGGAATATTGATTGCTACTATTATTGTGTGCGTCAGTCTTCCGAATAGGAATGAATACATGACCTTTGAAGAAGAATATATCGCAATCTGAATGCAAGCAACCAATCAAAAATGGATCTCTTTGTTCACAACCAAAGCTGCTTTCTCTCCTTGTCTTGACATTTGCATTTTGATTTCTGCTTGTGTTTCTTCCTTCTTTCTCAAAAATCAATTTCTGCAGTGACTTTTCCCTTGGTTTTTATTAAAATCACAAATTGTATTATGCAATCGTTTGGAATTGTAAAAGAACTATTGATTATATTGTTACACTTATATTGTGATTTAAATCCACCAGCATAGATTCTACTTGGAAATGCAAAATAACGAGTAGATATGCAAAGTGTATTACACCAAAAATTGATTTTCTGCAAATTTAGTAACATTTAAAGTATAAAGAATCAATTTTGAGTCGAAATTTATGCATTTTGGTAACGCTACAATTAGTGCGTTTTTACCCTTCAATATTGTTAGATATCACTTGAAATATATTTTGTGCATATTATCGGGTTCCAGAAGTGACACTGTAATGTAATTTATACACATAGAAATGTTTATACAGTTCTTAAGCCATGCATTCAGAAAATAAGAAATAAAAATTAATGGTATTCTTGCAAATCGTTAAAAAACTTTTGTCAAGAGTCATAAGTAATACAACAGCTTAGGTCAACATTTGACATGTATTATTAGATATTGAAGCAAGCCAAACTATATTATTAACTTCATTAGAATTACATATCTTATTATAAAAAAAAGACAAAAAAATTGAATTTATCATAAGTTTCCCCCCTGGAGGTTGTAGCAGAAAGTGCTAAGAAAATGAATATTTCATGCACAACTTTAATAAAATGTAGCAAATGTAAAATCATTGCAAGATTTGTGATTCTCCAGAGAGAAGATAATTTTCCCATTGGTCGGTCAGTATCATACATCATCCGTTGGTCAGTACCACTCTTACCCATACATTTACCCATTGGTCAGTATCATATTTTACCCGTTGGTCAATCAGTAACCGTGCTTTAAGTTGTAAGTAAAAGTAGCTTTGATAATAAAAACTAATAAATTTGCAACAACCCCCACCGCCCCCAAAAAGGTAGAAAAATTTTCATATATTAGTGACTTTTAGGAATATAGCATAAGAGAATAAGTAATACATGTTTTATTTATTTTTGAGTATGAGTCAGTTGCAAGGAAATAAAGGTAGTTTATTTATAATCGAGAGATTATTGTAGTCAATATGAATATATTAAAGATGGAGTGATGGACTGAGGATAGATTATGATATGATGTTTAGTGTGATCGTCACTAGTAGACTGTGGACAGATGTTCAATGTTTACAGAGCTAACAATGGAAATGTCCTATCTAATACTTGATGATGGCAACCTTCAGATCATTCACTAAGAAAACAAATGTTTCCTACATATGTCCAACAATTTTCAGAGACATGGTCACAAAGGATGTGGCAAGAAGCTCAAACAAAGAGTTAGAACCTGCGTTTAATACATTCGAAATTTATTATATATCAGAAATCATTATATTATTGCCAGTTTTCACTCAGTCTTGATGGAAGACCCCCAGGGTGCTGCTACTACTAATACAACTCTTAATGGAAAAAAGAGACTATAGTGTATTTTATAGAGAACTTGAAATGATGTTTATTTTGGATAATAGCAACTATTTTCGGTAATACTTTTAGATAATGAATTTTAAAGTATAAATGTTCAATCTATAAATAGTAGGCTTTTTTTTTTCTTTTTAACGCAGGGTAGAACATTCTGAGATTTTGTTACATTCTTAATGATTGATTTGTGGACGGATGTTAATATACATGTACTGATCATTCATGTTTGATAAATTTAGAATAGTTGAGATGAAAAAACATTAAATGAATAAAAAATAATTCAGTATTTATAAATGTTATAAATTTAGATTTTTTGTATCTTTCGCCTAAGGGAATGGAAGTTTAATCAAAATATTGCTTTTCCGCTTTTTAGAAGTAAAAGAATTTCTTTGATATTTTCAGAAACAAATACTATTTTGAGTTGGAAATCAAGAATACGAAAAAAAAAAAAAAAAAATTGCTTAATATTAAAAATCTTGAATACAAATTGTTGTAGATGAAGTAAGACAGATCAATTATGTTTTTGTCGATTTGGAAAGAAAACACAAAGATAAATCGTTGCAATGCAGTATTTGAGATATTTTCTCGATGTTTATTTGTATTATTTTATTTATCGAAGATAAGAGTAATTTGATTGTTCTTATCAAACATGCACGGGGAACGCCGTTTGATTTGCGAATTTTTTCTTTTGAAAAATTAGGCATTTTGTCTGCATGTGGACAAACAGAGATGGGGTATTAAATCATCGGAATACAATTTGAGTGTTTTTTGGCATTTTTTCCCCTCCTATTCACTGATGTAAATCTAGAAATCAGAAGCATTGTTTAAATAAGGGAGTAAGGTTTTTAACTTTATAAGTAAACAGCGCGGAAACTAATGGCAGTCTAGACAAGCTTTGAGACCTGCTCAGCAGGGCCATTTCTCGAGTCTTATATTGTCTTAACTTCTGTTCAAATGTGTACTTATACAAGTGACAAGGGGGTCAGGGATACAACAAACAAAACTTAGTAAAGACAATAGAAACGACGTACAGTGGTAATATTCACCCATCCTTACAATTACTCTTGAAGAACAAGCGCTAGTATTTTATACAAATAATGAATTAGGTCATTTCTGTGAACACTTGTCAGTTTTACAGCTTCGCAATCAACACGCAAAATTCCATACATCAAATCTTCACATGGTCCGAAATCGGACAATCCTTTGTTCTTCGTGACTTGAAGTTAAGTCCCAGTTTCTTGTAATTTCTTATCTGTTGTGTACAGGTGAAGTCGTTCTGAAGGAATGAAGCACAAAGGTACAACAGAAATCATTCACTGATATTGATATCAACGAGAAGTGGTATCAAATGTTTTGTAAAGAATAGACATAGCCTAAATGACTGAAGTTTGTGAGAAAGAATAGAATTTTAATTTGATTAAATTTGATTTTTTTTATTTATTTAGGTGGAGAAATCTATTCAGTTATTTCTTGTAAAATTAATCAATATATGTTATTTGTATTTTTCAGAACTATGATAGCTAATTTCGAGAAACCCAGAAAATGATGGAAATAGAAACCCTTTCGTGTATTCCTACATCAACGTCCATTCTTCCACTTGCAAGTGCACCAAGAAGTAGTACACCTATCACTAAGACACCTTCATCACCGCAAAGTAGTACGCCGCCTAGTGAATCAACAGACGATAGCTCACCTAATACCAGTACAGTTGGAATTGGTTCACCTTTGAACTTTGCTATTGAAAGTCGTGGTAATAACATTCCATTTAATCAGCCGCCATCTTGTATAACATCTCCACTGAACTGTCATAACTTACAAGATTTCAAAACTGCCAAAATGATTATTGACGCTTCCAATCATAATGAAGATATGGATATATCATCCGATGCTGATTGTACGTCTGAGAAGGAAAAGATCGCTATTGCTGCCATCACAGACTTGTCCAGACAGTCTCCAAATGGTGTCCTTAGCAACAAGCTAGATTCCCGCTCTTTTCCTGCAGTGCCTGAAATGAGTCCAACCACATCTGGTGACGGTGACAATGATCGCACTTCTAGTCCAGCTTCCTCGGAGCCAACACAAGAAAAACAGAGATCCCGGAGAAAACCTTCTCTGGAAGATATCGTCAGAAGGATGAAGCCGACAGATGACTGTTTTTATACAGATGATGAGAGTGAAGATGAAGAATTGAATGGCTCTCTGTCAATAGATATGGCTAGACGATCCGATGAGGTCGATGGTTCTGTTGAAGTCAGCATGATCCACAATAACCCAATAGATCGAAAAGACATTCCAGAAATCACCAAAAACATTAATATTGGTTCTCTTAAAAGAGAAAGTCATGCTAATGTCAATGACCTTTCCGATTCCAAAGAAAATTTCCCAGCATTCCCTAATGGCAGCTTACCCCCATCCTTTCCACTTGCTTCCAATATCAGCGAAACTGCTTTTTCTCCCGGATTTATCAACAATAAGCATTGGTTCAATGGATCTTTTAATGGCCTTCCTATGTTTCCCTTTCCACCCAGTCAGATGGATCCATCTATGGTGCATAAATTTCTTCCATTTGACAACAAACTGGCAGCAGAAGTAGAAAAAGATTATTTGAAGTGTCAGTATTGTGAGAGAACCTTCCGTCGACAGAAAAACCTGGAAAACCACATAGAAAATACCCACCATGGTAAAAGTCCAGTACGACGTAAGCCTGAGAATGGAAACTCGAACGACATGTATTTTAAATGTACTCACTGTCCGTACACAACAAAGCATCAGAGTAACTTGTATGTTCACATCAGAATTCATACAGGTAAGTGAAATAACTTTATTTGATCTGATCTGATCCATCTTCTGAACAAAATACTAGTGCTTCTACTTATGAATGACTTTAAAAAAGTAAGGTCCTATATATCCATTGGCAGGCACATAAATGGTACCATGTCAGTTGGGATTCAAAGAAGAGTAGAAAGAAATTATTTCCCTAGCGTGCAGAAAAGTAGGATGTTAAACCCCATTTTGTATACATCAAGCCTCGACACAAGGCACCTGTCACAAACTTTGTCAAGTATGTATTATAATAAAAACATCATTTGTGCCTGACAAAGTCTATGACAGGTGCCCTGTGTCAAGGTTTAATACATACATAAAATAGTAAATTTTTAACACTATTCTTTTACTTTGTTAAATACAGGACTTGTAAGATATCACAGTTGATTTCATATGTACATCTCAATTTTTGAAAGAAGTGTATTGTTTCTCAGACGTGATTGTGTAACTTCATTGCTTCCATAGAGAGCAGAAATAAATATAGGCATCTTTGGCAAATGTAAGAAATAGAAATGGGCATCCTTGGCAAGTGTCAGGTACCAAAATATGAGACATACTGGATTCACTGACCAGGTCCCTTTATTTCTAATCCCCCTACACACAAAGGAATTATTGAAATAGAATTGAACTATTTGTTAGTCCCACAATGACTTGGTCTGTGTCGAGTGGACGTTAAACTGCATTTCTTGCTCTGTCTATTGCTAATCATACTGTAGATTAGACAGTGTATTTATTATCTCTTGTTGCGTATCGTTTCAGGTGAGAGACCGTATATATGTGGAGCATGCGGAGTACAATATAGCCAAAGTCACAGTTTAAAGAGTCACATTATCAACAAACATGATGGTATCATGTCTTACTATATCAAAGAGAAGAGAACACGCTCCCCCCGGGGTATGGGGTATCTGGCAAACGCAATGGCTGGGGATAGCAACATGTTCAAGCTACCCCCTCCCCTTCTACCACACGGCATACCAGGACTACCACATAATTTTGATTTGAATAAATCCATGGAGATGATGAGAAACACAGAGCAGATGATCCACCATCATCAACAACAACAGCAACAGCAACAACAACAACAGCAACAACATTCTCCTCATCTCTACACCAAATTACCCTTCATCAACGGACACGCTTCTCCTAATTATGGTGATGTTCCTGCTAACCGAAGTCCTGGCTCCTTCCAGATGCCAGCCAATGCTCAGATGCCAAGTACTCCAGTACCACCAGTTCCTAGCTACCAACCCAGTAACTCCCCAGCTCCCCTCACCCCTAACAACAGTATCAATACCAAAAAGCAAAGCACAGGAGGAGATGAATGTGGAGCGATTGATCTGAGCAAGAAGAATGAACCACAGGAGAAAACCATCTCACCAATCAAAGAAAACACAAAACACCTGAATCTAAATCAACACTCGAGATGTGCCAATTGCTTGTATGCCCCGAAACTCAAGATGCTTCGACTTAACGTGGTCAAGATGCTGAGTATACTGGTACCTAATCTGAATTTTGAAGAGAAGGGAATAAGTGCTGACAGTGACTCGGTTGACGAGTTGCTACAGGATGTTATCGAGAGCAACACACACGATGAAGATGCGTGTATGACTGACTGCTGATCTATAGAATCGTCTTAAATCTGCTTCACAACTGATGCAGGGTTGTAAACCTATATTTTTCGAATAATTGGATGTATACCAATTTAGAGTGCTCTTTTATTATTTTTGTGTAAACTGTCTCTAAAGAGAGTGCATTGTTGAATTGTTTATGCACTTGTTACAAGATGTATTATCTGTATTAATGGTGCATGGGAGGTAACTCCACACAATGGAGTGTGCAATAGACCATCTATACATGTATAATACCAACACACGCCACCCACGTATATATATATATATATATATATACATATCATATTTTATTGTATTATGTATGTACTATATATGTATACCATCATGATTCTTATAGTACGAAGTACTGGTCACAAATTTATTATTATTATTATATATGTTATGTGAAACACCATCCATTGTCAAGCTTTCTTAATACCTTATTACGAGAGTCGAGTAATGAGAAAAAAGAATTTATTGTAAACATGCCAAGCTACTTAGATTTACTTGTACAGGAACAAAATCTTATAGATCTGACCATATAACTTAAATCTAAGTGTTTGAATTAATGTTGATAAACTAGTTTGAAGGGAGGTAACTCTATTTAAGGTAGAGATACTTGTGAAATAAGATTGCTTTGCTGACAACTTCTCATCGAACATCAAATCATATGATATATAGATAATATTCTTACCACCACAGATCAAAGACAGTTATATTTATTTCACATAAAGATCAGTTGATCGACCCCCACCAATCCTACCCTAAAACAGTATTTAAGTTATGGAATTTGTTACTTAAGTATATTGATGAAGCTATGATAAGTTTCGGAGGTTTGCTTTCTCCCATTAGTATTTTACCAGTATTTTTCATTGGCTTGTCCTTATAAAAAATGTTAGATCTTTGTTAATCCCTAATCCTGTACAGGATTAAGTTTTTTTCTATTATTTGTATTATCTTGCAAGGATTTTGTCATTTATTCATTCATTTTATTAAGTGATTTAACCACACCCATTCCACCTGGTACAGTTTACTGTTAGACTGGGAATTATTGAGATATAAATTAATTAATGCAAAGTCTGTAAAGATAATTTTAAGATAAATATGCAACTTAAGAGTAAATTTCTTTATTTACAAAATACTTAAGTTATTCACAATAATTTCCAGCTTCACAGTAAATCTGTGTATTAACTAAGTATCAAAAATATCATTTCCATTCATTTTCAATATTGTTGATCAAAGTTTAATTATTGCATTCCAGTCATTTTATGTAGATGCTTAAAGCATTCCATTTGACCCATTTTTTCATTAGATTGCAATTCTGCAACATTTCCAAAAGATCATTTTAATTTATACATGAATCATTCTCACATTACCTACGTTTTGTGTGTAGTATTTGTATCGTATGTCTCGAATCATGAACAAGCCCACATCACAAAGAGTTATTTAGTTTGATACAAGAACTATTTATATATTATATTATTAGTATTAAGATCAAAAATTTTAAAAATATTATAAATTTAGCCAAAGTCCAAAGAAATCAACTTTATTATATGTGTACTACTTAAAAGTAGGAAAACATTTTAAAAAAAAATAAATAAAAATTCTTTTTATATTGGTTGTGAAACGAAGTTGAAATATTTCACTAACGGTACGATTAGCCTAGCAATATGTACGTTTAGTATAGCAATATTATATATTTCATAAACATGGCTACTGTTTATATGTATATTACTACGGTGTTTGATCACAATATCATGGCAAATTATGTTCCCTTCGACCCAAAAAAACAAGCAATAATTATTGTTAAGCAATTGGAGCAGCTTATTACAACGTGCTGATTTTGATTTTCTTGAATATTTGTAAAACTGCTTTTAGAGCTGAGATCTATTTTTATATACCCAAATCTTTTAGTCTATTGGATTTATTCCTAACTTTAATATAAATACGTTTGTTGTGAGTCTTCATGATTATGTCTTCCTTTTGAAAATTATAATAACTTGGGAGTTAGAACTACACACGGCAAATTATTATTAATTATTAATTAGAAATTTAAATATTTAATTAATGAAGATATGGAGCCTGCTCCCGAGAATTATATCTTAAACGGGGGCGGAGGATTAAAAGCGATATATATTAATATGATATCGTCAGTTTGTATATATTATACACTTTTTATGTGGTTGTGAAATACTATAAATGAATGAACCAGACAGCCTTTACGATGATAAAATAAATGTCCTTCTATATAAATATAATGTTGTATTAACTATATTATGTGTACTTAAATGTTGTTTTGTAAAGAAGAAAACAATATGAACTTATATCTAAATATACCATATAATACGTCCAGTCCAGTCTGCGCCCCGCCCACCGTACATATGTAACCTGGGGCCAGACATAGGGAGCCATTTTTTGTTTGTCATTATATATTTTCACTATAGGTTTCATGACAGAACCTTGCTAGTCAATTCATATTTTCACCCACTTTTCAGACGAGGGGCCACTCTTATCAAATTCTTTCATCCATCAAGCAAAACTTCTAAATAATAACATCAAAATATTGTCTATTTTTGCTGCCAGACTATTGTCTGCTAAATTTAACCAAATATAAATCATGTTATACATATCATCTTCATGAAGTTTGAGAAGAACTGCCAAATTATTTTATTCATTTAAATCGTATCTTGGTCTACACATCTTTATGAATCTCAAGCATTAAACCTTTCTACATACCGGCAATATTAACTGTTATCACATCATAAAATCTTATTTAAACAGTGAAGTGATAATTGATCAATTTGACACAAACTTAATTTTGATATTTGAATCTGAATTGTTGTATTATGATCAGATAATTAAAATCAAAAATGTATTACATCGTAAAATTTGCATGCTTTTAAGTTTGATAATTATATTTGGCACTTCTTCTCAGTTGAAGATTTTGATTTTTGTGGCCTCTGAAAATTATAAAACCATTTCATCGTCATCCAGCAGATATGTTGTTGATTTTGTTGAAAAGATGTCGGGTTGCATTTTGTACCGGTGCATCTTCCTCTGTTTTGTTATGGTTTTTATTATTATTTTGAAGTGTTTATAAGATATTTTTGTTTGTTTTTGATATAATTTTGAAATCATGGTATGTTGCTACAAGTATTTTTATTTCCTAATCCTAACCCAGAACACTGCCTTTGTATTTTTTTTTATATTATTAAGTAACGAACCAAGCCAATGATGTGCTACATTCTTACTGCGCCATGTTACAGAAAATGCATTTCTTAAAGCAATACTCAATATTGTTATTTTTGCATTTGCTAGAATTTGTTTGGATATTTTTATGGATTGAAGAAATTCTAAAACATACTTTGAAAAAAGTTTAGAAATTATTAATGGTATTTGTCTTACAAAAATTTCTTTGAAAAGCCGACTTTCAAAATACATTCATTATCTTTAAATGATGTTTAATGTCAGACTCCAAAAAAGTCCATGATTCAAAAAGAAATGATTTGTGTAACAATAATTTTGTTGAACAGGAAATCAAGACCTAGTTATCATTAAATTAAGAGGCTTGACATATGCAAAGAATCAACGAGTAGGTGACAAGTTGCAGGGAAATTGAGTTTTTGGGAAATTTTGAAAATATACCCGACACTGGCAACCACTCAAAGTTGATTTTAAACATGTCCATTAGGAGATTTATGCAATTATATTCAGCCAAAAATTGATTATTTTTATTTACTGATATTTAGGTCTTGATCTTGATAAGCATTTTCTTCTGTTTTTGTGCCAGACAAATTTACCTGCCTTTTATTGTGTTCAGTATTGAATCTAGTCCACGCCAATTCATTATATTTTGTCTACGGACGTCATTAATTCATGATTGCATTTGAGCACCGTTCCAATTAATCAGGCATGCCTTAGCTTTTGTTTTCTTCAGAGACATTCCTGTAGCTTTTTTTGAAACTGAATCTCCGCATCCTTTAAGTATTGGTTTCTGTGGTTATTGTTAAGATATCAAGACAAATAGTTTAAAGGTTACAAATAAGGAAATCATGCTTCAAAGAGGAGGTAACTCAGTTTCAAACATTTGCTATTGAAGCAGACTGATTTGATTCCATGTGTTCGTCATTCCCTTCACTGAGTAACAAAAACTCACAGACCACTTTTAAGTTTTTATTTTCAATATATTACAAATATTATTGTTAAGTTACTTATATTACTTATATTACTCCTCATTATTTTTATTAAAAAATATATCCAAATATCATATTTTAGAAATCTGATCAAAAATAATTATATGATTGTAGATTTTGCCAACATTCTACTTAAATAACATACATTCCACCAATTATGATTAATGCCAAAAAAATTGTCAATTATTGTTGATAATGACGATCTCCTACAATTTTATTTTATGTTTTTCTCCGCGTTATTTTGTTAATGAATAAAAGTACTTAAGTTTTTAGTGTACATGTATGCTACGCAGTGTATCACTTGAAATGCCAATTCCGTGTTCAGTGGCAATAATTATATAGTAATTGTACTTAGTTAAAAGGATTACCGCCATATTTAAATTAAAGAAAGTGGGAAGTCTTACTATGGGGATACTGCTGTTTATATTATTATAGTGTTAAATGTAAACAAATTATTTTCTAGATATATCATATAAATATATTTGGCAATAATTACTTAGCAAAGATGTTTTTTTTTTTAGATATAGAGAGTCCTCTCGTTATTAAGAAAGTCAAATTGTTGTATAATGTGAAATCTATGACAAAAATTTAGCCTAGAAAGTGTGTACGAATGTTGAAACCATTGAGTATTGTATTGTCTCTGCATGTCTGTTTTGTCTGTTTTTGTCTGTTTTTGGACATCATGTCAATCCGTTATAAAGTGAGACTGTTGTCCCGTTCATTATCTAGACTCGTGGTTTTGAAATAGCCAAACTACTTAATTCTTCAAGCTTCTGTAATGTTTATATGGACACACGTGACTCGCATCGTATTATAGAACATGTTAATGTTTATTTTTTGCCAGGAACGAAAAAAAAAAAATCCTCTTTTTTAAAAAGAAAAAAAAAGGAGAATTGTTGTCTTTTTTTGGTGAACCAAAGATAGAATTGAGGAATGTTTCCTTTAATGTATATTTTGTCAATATATATACAAATGTCTTCCTGATAAGTGTGATGTAGTCTGCGTTTTAACCCGGATAATCCCGATGTTCAAATCCTTCGGTAGAACAAATCGTATGCAAAGAATTCATGTCTCCAATTTACCCGTTGTTTTCATATATCTCTTTTTTTTTTTCCTCTTTTTTTTTTTGTTTGTTTATTTTTGTTTGTATATATACATAGCTCCAAAATTTGTTAGAATTACTTGTTTTGATTTTTTTTTATATTTTAGTATAATTATTATTATTATTATTATTATTATACCCTGTGTTGAGCTTTATGAACATTATTTAATGTTTAATTCGGTTTATTCATATCAATAGGCAGTTATCGTATAAGGCACATGTTGATTTTGTTTTTGCCATGTACTTATTTAGCTGGGTTGTGAAGTCTTATTTTAACCTATATTTAATTAGGTAAAATAACTTGTATTTTCAAATTTGAAGCCAAAAATCATAAAAATATTTTCTCAAAATTAACATATCAAAATCCAACTTGTGCTGAAATCCTATTGTTTAGATATCATAAAACGTGCTATTTTTTTATGTTTAATTTCAAGTTTTTCTCTCAAAGTGCTTCAACATTAAATGGAGAATTGTCTAAGTTTTGTTTCTGGTAACTAGATGTATTTTTTTTCTCAATGTAGTATTTTGCTTTCTTTTTATTCAAAATTACCAGCTGAATGATTTATGAATCACAAAAGTTAATTTTTCATAAGGCAAACGACATATGCAAATTGTATATTATTTTGGGTTTAAGCAAAATTTTATGACTTTTAAGAGTAATGTACATATCAGAAGGATATTACGATATCATGCACTTTTTTTTGGTTATTTTATTTTTGTCTGCGTGAATTCTGATTCTGGCTTATATTATGTGATCGTCAGTAAATGTGCATATTAAAGAGTGTGAATGTTCATGTGTAGCTTAGAAGCAAATAAAGATATAAAAAAAATAAAATATTTTAGACTTTGGTTTGTTTTATGGAAACGCTCCACTGTGGCAGTGTTTCCCAACCTGGGATCTGTGCTTAATGATCTGTGAAGAAAATTTTGGAATGAAATTGGTGCAATTCAGACAGTGTATTTCTAACTCTATGGAGTAAATTCACATATAGGTTTGTCCTAGAATTTGTGAAATGTCTCAAAGGGTGAGAAAGTGGAGAAAGTTCGAGAACCACTGCATTGTGGTATGTAATATGTTGATGAGACATTAAATGCCAGTCATAGAGAAAGAAATGGGGTTAACTCAACAAAAACTAGTTTGGCCAGGTTACCCTATTCCTTGTTACGTTGAAGCAGGGAGTTGAAACCACGCCACTTGACACAAGAACAGACCTTGTGATCTAACATGCACGTGTTAAACCATCCGACTTCTCCCCCACTTAAAAGCCAGTCACTCTGTATTCTAAAATTATTGGAGCAGTGGTCGTCATAAATAGCATTTTCCTGGTTTCAATATTGGTGCAAGTTGGGAAGACATTGAGGATTTGTGATGCCCAATCATCTCTTTTCAAGAGTAATGCCGGTGGGTCCGATAAGGAAACTCTGCTACTGGTCATTTTTAATATAATAGACACAAAATAGCAAGGTTTCAAGTGCTTATGGGTTGAAATTTGAAGAGTAGTAGATGGAGATGCCACTGTCCGTGCAAAAATTCTTCCCCCCTAGCATTGCACACATGGCCATAGTAAATATAATTAACCCTGAATTAATCTGAAAATGACCAAAGTATTGTGTTGCTGAGATGTTTATTCCATTTCTTTAAAAATACTTTTTGAGGAACTCTGTTTTCCCAAGGCAACAAAACTATAACTATTCCCAAACCATCAATTCCAGATAACCATTTAGATAATCTTGGCTTGGACCTCATTCCAGTTACTCATTTCCTATCGATGATTAACATGAAATGCCGACTTTGAACACAATTTCAATGCAATGACATTTGACTGATGTTTTCCAATTAACTCCTCACCATACATTATAAACTTTAGACTAACCTCCTCACAATGCATTATAAAGTTTAGAATGGCCTCCTTTCCATGCATTATAGTTTAGAATAAACACCTCACAATGTGTTACAAAGTTTAGACTAGCCTGCTCACCACGCATTATAAAGTATAGAATGAACACCTCACAATGTGTTACAAAGTTTAGAATAACCTGTTCACCATGCATTATAAAGTTTAGACTAACCTCCTCACCATGGTTTTGGGAAAATTGTGCTACAGGTAATAATGACCAACTCACCATGCATTATAAAGTTTAGAATGGCCTCCTCCCCATGCATTATAAAGTCTAGAATGACCTCCTCACCATGCATTATAAAGTTTAGAAGGAACACCTCACCATGCATCATAAAGTTTAGAATGACCTCCTTGCCATGCATTATAACGTTGAGAATGGCCTCCTCCTTATGCATTATAAAGTTTAGAATGGCCTCCTCACCATGCATCATAAAGTTTAGAATGACCCCCTCGCCATGCATTAAAAAGTTTAGAATGACCTCCTCCCCATGCATCAAAAAGCTTAGAATGACCTCCTCGCCATGCATTGTTTAGAATGACCTCCGGAAGAAAATAACCTAGGTAACCCTAGGGTTTTTTCTGAAGTCTTCCTTCCCCAGCATAACCGAAGTCGAGGACTTTATCTTGCTTATAAACCGTTTATGTTTACATGTTTACGTAAACTGAGAATATCCCAGATTTCCAGTAAGAAAAACCTTATATCATGTTTTCTTATGACCCCCCCCCCCCCACCTTGGAAGAATAACCCGTTACAGGTTTAAAGAAAAACTTTCAAAAGAATAACCCCAGATTACCCTGTATATATCCAAAGCCGCCCCCGACTTTCAGAGTGTTACGTGTAGGATAAAGCTCGAGACTGTGGTTATGCTGGGGAACGAAAGACTGAAGAAAATAACGCGAGATAAAGAAAACCCGATGCCGGCAATGCCGAGGTTTTTCTGTCGAGGGTTTTTTCTGAAGTCTTTCTTCCGCAACATAACCGAAGTTATGAGAGAGAGAGAGAGAAATGGGGTTTAACGTCCACTCGACACAAACTAGGTCATTTCGGGACGAACATATGGTTTAATTTTATTTACATAATTCGCTTGTGCGTATAGGGGTCTTTAGCAGTGGGAGGAAACCGGAGAACCCGGAGAAAACCCACAAGGTTGGACAGGCGACCCTACTCCTTGCCACGTACAACCGGGGATTCCGAAGTTATGAGGCTTATATGTTTTATTTTATTTAAAAACATACTTTAAAGTATACATCAACAATTGTAGTGATTTCATCAAATGGGTAAGTAAATAAGTAAGTAAGTATTGCATAAAAACGCCCACGGGGAGCATACAAAAATGACATTAATACAATACAACAAATATACATGTAACAAATAAACGAACGGTATGATTCAACTAAAATCACCAGTTTTATTACTTTTATCGTTTAATATATAAAATCTGTATTATAAGGTCCATGTTTTTAGTTGCATTAAGAGACCACCAAATGTGTCATAACTAACAGAGGAAGAGGATGTGATTTGTAGTGGCCTCAAGCGGGAAATGCCAGTAATAGCTGTAAATTGTGGTAGCCTAACATGGAACTGTATTAGCGTACTGTGATATATTCTGTAATGTGCCAGTAGAACGGTGTAGTGGAGTAGAAAGTTAGTGGGTTAACTGTGTGCTTAAAACACGAATCGTTTCATATTCTTACTTGGTAAGTACTTTATTTATAAGTTTAATATTTTAACTTTAAAGCACTCAACTGTCACTCATAGACTTTATAATGTAGCCTTGGTTACATACCATACCATTTGTTTTTTGTTATTATATTATTAGAAGTTATTTTTTAAGAATAGCATGATTGCATCAACTCTTTGTTTCTGGAAATTTTGTATCTAAGTCAAAAGAAAAGTTTTGCAGATTTAACTGATATTATATCAGTCATTTACCAACAATGCAATGCAATGGGCCTCCAGAAATAAAATTCATATTTAACTCTTGTTTAACTTTTGGTATTTAATTGAAGTCAATTTGACTACTGAATTAGAAAACGATCAGCATGTAAGGCCCTGCATGTCAACTTTTTCAGCCATTTAACCATAATGTAAAAAATCTGCTCTTTCACGAAATCATTGCTCCGCCAGAATAATTTCAGAATAATTTCTACAAATCTTCCTTTTTTTAAATTCTCCTTTGTCACAGGAATAAAGGATTAGTAGTACATTAGGTTTGTTTTTGTAGATTTTTTTGACCCTATATGGTCATGACCTAGAGAACTGAATTGGTAGGGTCTACTAGTAAAGTAATAGGACAGGCTATCATATTAAAACTTTCTTGCTGTACTGGTTTATGATAACATTCTAATGGGTATATTTACAATATTTAAATACTTTACCATAAGAGTTTATTTTTTCTTCCAGCAAAGCATGAAGCTCTTAAAATTCCTCACTTATTTCAATTACAAACATTAACGTATTAATAAAAATATTATACACAGGGGGCCTATGCAATGGAATAAAAGCACTGAACTAGTTTATCTCTTACACTTACAGAATATCAGAAAGTGATATGGCACAGACTAATTAACGCCTATGCAAGGGAATAAAAGCAGTTTTACTGCTATAGATCTAGAATACCAAATAGTGATATGGCAACAACTAATTATGTTCAGAACTCCAATTTACACATTTGGTCATTTATATACATATTGTCACTCTGACCAAGAAATGTCATATTGAAAATAACCCGAAATAGAAAATCATGGCTCTGATCTGCTAAGACTTTAGAGTAAGATAATTGATAAAAATGTGCCTTATACTTCAAAGATTTCTCTCAAACTTTGTATACAATTTAATATAAACATTCTTGTAACTGATCAGTCAAATCATGTCAAACTGAAAAATGTAGTTTATTTAAAGATACATTATGGGAGATTTGGTAACGAGTTGGCAGTTCTCACTATAATAGTTAAAAACTAGATAATGTAAAGGCAATTTGGTGAAAATTTCATTCAAATTGATCCACTATGAACCGAGAACTAAGTGACTGAAATTCCCATAAGCCTTGGTCATCATTACTAAAGTCAGTACGATAAACAACATAGTCTCGATTATCCAGTTAATCGTTTAATCGAGAAGGAAAGTTATGCAGTAAATCGGCTTACAATCCACTAAAGATCGCAGGCTAGCGCTGCCATCTAGAGTTGATTATGGCCTGGATAGGTTAATTAATGTCTAATTAATAATTTAGATAACATTTCAGGCCTAAAGAAAGACCTGAAATAGTCAGATTTAACTCTTGCATAATGTATGTTTAATAACCAACCAAGACCTTTAAAGCATTTAAAATCGTGAGAATACAACTAGATACAACATATTACAATCAAACTAAAAAAATGAGATCAATCTCAAGGTCATTTAAAGTTTAAAACACAGTATGTTTCACATTAAGTAATACTTGACAAGAACTGCAGAATAGGTGTCAAGAGCTGTACCTACATGGTACATATGGTATCAATCATATATTAGGCCATGTTAATTTGAATTTCTGTTTTTCGAGAACACCTATTAAAAATTCTGCCTCCAATTTCTTCAGGTAAAAGTCAAATCATGTCAAACTGAAAAATGTAGTTTATTTAAAGATACATTATGGGAGATTCGATAATGAGTTGGTAGTTTTCACTATAATAGTTAAAAACTAGATAATGTAAAGGCAATTTGCTGAAAATTTCATTCATATTGATCCACTATGAACCGAGAACTAAGCGGTGCAATTTCCAGCAAGCCTTGATCATCATTACTGAAGTCAGTACAATAAATAGTATTGTCTCAATTATCCATTTAATCGTTAAATCGTGAAGGAAAGTTATGCAGTAAATCGGCTCATAATCCACTAAAGATCGAAGGCTAGCGAAGCCATCTAGAGTTGATTATGGTCTGGATAGGTTAATTAATGTCTAATTAATAATTTAGATAACATTTCAGGCCTAAAGAAAGACCTGCAATAGACAGATTTAGCTCTTGCATAATGTATGTCTAAAATATCGCACTCAAGAATTGAGTTTATACATTGATCAAGACCCCAAAGATCTAACAATGAAATAGGTTTGGCCTAAGGGTATATAGAGATATATAGTGTATGGCAGGAGGGAGGTTGAGATGGTCAGAATTCTTAAGCTCTATATAAATTATATCTAACAGGGTAATTATGTCTTAAAGGAATTCCAGCCTGATAGTTTTATTGGCCACCAGGCGAAGATCTGTGAGATCTGTTAATCAAGGATGAAGCAGAGAGTTGAAGAAGATTAGACAGTAGTTTTACTACTATATAAACATATAGTATATATTAGGGTTACAGAGTCATCCATGGTTTAGATTTGGAGAGAAAAAATTGTAAATAAGATAAAATTTATTGCCACCTTATTTCTGTTATTGATAAAAAAAGAGCTGAGTCAAGTTTATTTAATAGCAAATTTGTATTACCTACATTCATTTACGGAAAGGAATGGATGGTGGTTAACACCTCACCACTACAGGACCCTGCTTGTTTTTTATGGACACACATGGACATTAAATTTCAACAGTTTCCAATAATGTATCTTTAAGTTTTGAAGAATTGGGTTTATTTATTCATCAAGACCCCAAAGAACTAGGTTGGACAGGCGACCCTACTCCTTGCCACGTACAACCGGGGATTCGAAACCACGCCAGTCGACTCAATGACAGACTTTATGGTACAGCGCGCACGTGCTAACCATTCAGCCACCCAACCCCCCATATGTCTTTAGACTATCATGCCACATTTTTGTTTCTGTGGTTAGAAATGCATTTTGCCTGAGCTGTGGTATTTGAGTTTGACAAAACATTTTTAGTCATGGCATTTTTGCTGTGTTGTCAGGTTGTATACAAAGAGAAAGTATATCCTGCCTAATGAACAACACCTGTCCGTACTTATAGATATATGGAGAAATAGTAGAAAACAACTTTCAAGGTTATTTCAGATAAATCAGATTCATATCTTTCCAGTAAAATATCAGATTACAGATAATTTGATTGATATAAAGTCATACTATATAAACAATTTTACTAGACTAAAATAAACTAAAGATCAAGAGATTTCAGTTCAATTTTATAGAAATCCTTCAGAACATATTAGCCTACTAGGTCAGGTAATTTTATGGAGATTTTTCTTTATCATATAATTTATTTGTCAATCTATGATGTTGATTTTATTTGGAATTATGAAATACAAAATTCATGTTGTTTCCACTGTATGTATTAATATCGTGTGTAACATAACTATTGGCATTAATCAATTCAGTCCTTATCTTAAAGCGTAATGCTAGCCAGAATAATTTGTCGTCATTAATTAGACTTTAATCATAATAATTGTTGAATATGTATATTAATTTATGGCTCCTATACAGTCAATGTTCTCTAATGACGCCTTTGTTATATATCCATAATGTCACTGTGAAGAAACATTATTTTTGTTGTTAGTTAATTTAAGAATTAGAGTCTTAAACAGGCGTTATGTAAGAGCTAAATCTTGCAGGTCTTTCTTTGGGCCTAAATGTTATATAAATTTTTAATTAGACATTTATTAACATGACAAGATCATAATCAATTCTCGATGCCATCGGATGACTCTGATTTTAAATAGATTAGAACGGTTCGACCTTTTAATAATTTAATTTAAAAATCGAGAAGCGAGGCTAAGACTCGAATGACCAGTACAGTGGTTACGATCAATGCACACATCTGGTCAAAACTACAACAATTGATAACTCTGCTTGAAATAAAGTAACTTGAATTAAATTTTCAATATATTCATTTTGCATTATCTATTTTTTAAATATTATAGCAAGAACAGCCAGCTCTTTATCTAAATCTTACACAATGCCCATTTGAATAACAGTAATATAACTTTAGATTTTTTTTACTTAGTTTCTTAAAATATTACTTTGAACAACTTTAAACTGAATTGTCTTTACTGAAATTGTCTTTGTACAAAAATTAAATTCTGAAATTAAATTTCTTCATAGTGAGCCCAGCAATCTTTATATACAATAAAGTTTGTACAATTGCATGGAAACTAGAATTATTGATAGTGAGCCCAGCAATATTTATATTGTGGTAAAACTTGGAAAATTCTCAAAGTAAAACGTAACTTTACTCCAGGTAAGTTAACCTGATGATTGATTAACTAAGCTTAGAGTGTCAGGTGATTCCTATAATCTACAATAGTTTATCTTTAAAAATAAATGGAATCATGGTAGCTCAGTAAGTATGGCGCTGGCTCACTAACCTGGAGGTCCTGGCCAAGAAAGTTTATCAGGATTTTCATGCCTGAATTCCCTTTGTCATTGGTGCTGTACGGAGGGTCTGGTGAGGAAAAGTGTCTAGTTGTTTGGATAGAACAGAAACCAAAGAAGTTCAGTGAACATAAACAAAAGGGGTTCAGTGTACAAATTGCTAGTTGGAATTTGAAATGAAATTGCACTGTAACACTGCTATCTGGGCAAAATTTCACTCATAGCAGACGGCATCGTATAGGCTCATCTTCATTAGCCCGGTTGGGGCAGACCACTGTTCTTAATTGCCTGTTTTTTGTCGGATTTAATCAAGCCAATTGGTAAAACAATGAACAGGCCACTATGGTATCATAAATCAATCTACTTTCGGCTAAATTACAAGGGTTCATTATTATTTGTTA